CTCTCTCTCTCCGTCTCTACTATCTCTCTCTCTCTCTCTCTCTCTCTCTCTCTCTCTCTCTCACTTTCTCTCTCTCACTTTCTCTCTCTCACTCTCTCTCTCTTCTCTAATTGCACGGGACGAGCCTTCCTAGCTCCTTCTCCTTCTCATCTAACATAAAAAGGACTCGGCAACGAATTCTCTCTTTGCTACATAATGATGTTATTCCAACAATGTAACAGGAACCTTTTCTTCTGGCTTCTGGTGGGAGATAGTGTTCTATCTACTGCTCCGGGTTGGTGATACTTCTGAGACAACAATGCCATGGACACAGTTCGTAAATCCTACCAAGTGGTTATGCACAAATTCGTTTGCCTTCGTTTTCTGTCGTACTAACAGCACGCGGCTACAGTGATGCCTCACATGCAACACACACACACACACACGTACAAAAGCCTTTTTTGTAGGTACACATGCATTATTGTGGCCTTTTTCGTAGAATCCGAGCCATTATTCCCCAAGCAAATTAGGTCCCTTGTTACTCCGAGCTTTGAGCCTGAATCATGATGTCCCACATACTTGAAGCCGTGTAGCTTTCAGATCCTTATCTCCTCCACAGCTAATGTGCTCCTATGCATGCTTAGCTGCTTTCTACGAACGTGCACATAACGTTGCTGGTTGCGGTAAGTTTGATCGATGCATTTGCAAGGTACATATATGGTCCAAATCAAAGTGCTCATGCTACGGAATTTTGTATTGTTCTTGGGGTCTGTGTCAAGAGAGAGAGCTATGGAGGCCAACTCCTCACCATGTCAGACGTGATGGGGGAATGCCAACACCATAAGAGATGAAGGTGTGGGGTTTTTGATTAGGGGAGAGGAAATGATTAGGAGGTAGCTTTGAGAAGGAGCAACAGGGAATTGGCGCCTACCGATGCAAAGAGGAACACCAAAGAAGCCATTGTTTGCTCTTGGTGCCAAAAACAGCCTATTAATTGTTGAAGTTAATGAAAAGGTCTTTGCCCTCTACATTTTACTTCTTTTTTTGTCTTGGAAATTTTCATTTTACTTCTTCTGTGTTTGCAAATTTATTCTATTGGAGTTTGATGGAAAATGTTCATCCTTTCGGTAATTACAACTGAATTTATTCTCTTTTGCAAACATTTATATTATTTGATCTCCCAATCTTGTTTCTGCAAACGTACCATCTCTTTCCTTTCTTGGAATTAAGGTCGCTCTAATGTCTTCCTCCTAATCCTCTCCTCCGGCTCCCTCTGCTATCATTTGCATTGACGGTTGCTCTTACCTAATGATGTGAGACCTTCCTATTTGTGTTTCGTAATGGATAAATGTAATACCATGCACTTTAAACAAATAACTAAAATAGTGAATATGTACATAAATATATTCTATTTTTTGTGCATATTTTAGTCCATTGCCTTTAATGTAAATACATGCACTTTGAATAGATGCAATACCTTCGATTTCTTGTATTCAAGGTTTATATAACAGCAGGTAAAAAAATTATACCGAAAAGAAATCGAGGTTGAAACACTATCATTGGGAAAGGAGTTTAAACAGTAATCTCATGAAAAGCTAAGCTGAGTAACTTTCCAAAATTTTACATGTAGTGTTCATCTTTCACTTTGTCTTCAACTGTTCTTTGTGCCAATTTTGTCCTCAAATGGTCTTCCTATTGCTAAAATCCTAGTCAGGAATACCATTCTTTCTGCGAGGCATGCTCGGAGACATACAAAATCATGTTTATATCAAACCAGTTAGCATTGAGTTTAATCTTTGGTAGTAGGTGGCAAGGTGGTCAGCATTGAGTCACCCGTTGGTTTGTCATGTGAAGTTCTTTTTAAGTCCTCTTGCTTCTATCATCCATGGAGTACCCGATGCGCTGGAATGCGATATTATCAACATAGACTCCCAGCTCTCCAGGAAACACCATTCTTTGATCGGCCTCCTTGTTGTTATTGGTCTGAAATGGCACAAACAGATCAAATAAATATGTGAATGATCCTAGGGATAAGAAAACACAGGTCATGATTAAACAACTGGTTTTTGAGATGGGAGAAGAAAAATATTATGGTAAATAATAGATGAAACAACAATCAGTTTTGTGTCAAAAGAATTGCAACATAAAAATGAAAATACTCTCGCAGCATATGTCAGCACTTGTTGACTATATTTGAAGCAACATGATCGATAACTGCAGGAATGTTAGCTTGATCATCATTTGTGCATGATGAGATATAATTATCAAAAATTTAGATTATTATCATCAGCATTTAAGGAAGCAGAAGCCCAAGGTCTGGGAAGATGCAGGAGACATAGCCAGTTCAAAGTGGCCTTCTAATTAACAGGTTGCCCACCGATTTGCATCCTAGGAGGCTTCAAGCCTTCAACTGTTCATGGCATGCTGCCTTGCCATCCCGTAAGCAATCAAAAATAAATTACCAACTTGGATAAAGGCATGCTTAGATAGAGTATTATAGAGGCCTCGATTGTTCATGGCATACAGCCTTGCCATCCCGTAAGTACAGATATATTATGAAATGGATAGGAACATGTCATCATCTGATGGACAATCAACTAGGGGAAAGCAAAAGCACAAGAATTTGAGCAGTACTTAGATTATACATTGAATCTCATTTGACCTTTCAGACCATCTGTGCAAATGGATGACGAGAGGACAAAATGGATTTGCAAGAAAGAAATTTTCATGCTGCTTTGCAAGTCTACAACACGATAATAGAGCCTGTATTCTGTAAATATTTTGGTTAGCTAGATCATAACAATAGTTCATATCTGCGTGCTTTATTCTGCTCAAGGAAAGATGGTTACTTTAACTAGCTCTCACAAGAGAAAATCACCTTGGCTGTCTCAGATACAACTTCATTTGTCTTAATGTCACGAACGGTCATTGCGCACCCGCAATAATTCTGTTTAACTAACCGTTCGTCACTCTCATCTACATGTATATTTGCTTGGCAGTATGTTTTGGCTTGGTTTTAAGTCTTTTTACTTGTAAAAATATAAGTTCGAATAAGTTATAGCGCTATAGTACGATCGTTCACCGAACCGAGCAAAAACATCCCCAAAACAGCCTAAAATGGCTCTATTTTCACGTGCCACGGGCTGTTTTCTGTAGCCCGCTGCTACATGCGAAATGTCAGCCATCTCAGCACCCTAGAACCACCCAAGTGGCACCATGGGGGATGGGACTTCGGTATAGTGTCGGGCGTTAAATAATGTTTCGCAAGTTCGTATGTTACCTTAACGGGAACTTGTTGTCACGCCCGGCACCCGGTGAGCAGCTGTTTGTAGACTTGCAACTATTCGTTCAACCCTCTAAAGTCTTTGTTTTCCTCCTCTCCCTCTTTTCTCTTGTGCACGTAAGGTGCTCGCTGAATTGCTTGTAAAGCTTTCCCTTTTCATGAGACGTCGGAACTTGTCCGTCACTCGTTCTTCGAACTAATCAACTTTCTCTTTGCCGCAAGAGTGCCTCGTGACTTAGGCAACGCAAGCTAAGTTCGCGTCTTTGCCGCAAGGGTGCCTCATGACTTAGGTAATTCCAGCTAAGTCCATGAAATTATGGTATTAGAGCGGGCAAGCACTTCGAGCGAGCAGCGAAGGAACTTCGCAACTTCGCCATGGTAAAACATCGTGGCAAATCAAGCAAGACGGGGCAAGCCAGACCATTTCCCCAAGCAGCTGCAGGTGGGCTGCAAGTGCACACTCACTCTCATGCTGTTGGAGCCACTCAAGAGGAGCACGATAGTGAACATGATGAGCGAGAAGTTGGCTGCTCTCCGCGAGCGGAAGAGGCGCAATCTGGTGCACCAACCGGGAAAAAGAGACATAAGAAGAGACTCACAACGGCGGAAACCCGCTTAGATATTCTTGAAGCGAGCTTGGAGGAACTCTACCATGGCCAACGAAGGCTTATTGGGATAGAAAGCTCACAAAAAGAAGCGGAGTCCAAGATCGACAAGGTTGAGGCCCTAGTCGACCGATTGTCAGATGACACCAAAGACTCCGTGCAACACCTGTAGGAAGTTGTGGCGGAACTCACTTCAAGGGTGACCATGCTCACAAGAGCACTAAATGCGGGAGGAAGCAACACCCGCGTTGCGCCGCCACAAAACTTAAGGGCACCCGAGCCTCATAGTTATGGAGGGGCTAGAGATGCTAAAGAGCTCGAGAATTTCTTGTTCGATATGGAACAATACTTTCGAGCTACGAGGCCTGATTCTAAAGAAACCAAATTTTCTATAGCAACAATGTATCTGAATAGAGATGTAAAACTTTGGTGACGAACCCGTTGGGAGGAGATCCAATAAGGTTAGTGTCGAGTTGACACATGGGAGGACTTGAAGCGGGAGTTGAGAACTCAGTTCCTACCGGAGAACATAGAGTTCGTCGCAAGAAGGAAGTTGAGACAACTCCACCAAAATACTTCTATTCGAGACTACGTGAAGCAATTTTCTATGCTAATACTGGACATATAGGATATATCTAAGAAGGACAAGCTGTTTAGCTTCCTCGATGGTTTAAAGCCATGGGCTCAACAAAAACTACATCGAAGGAATGTCACCGACGTGATCGGGGCAATTGCTGCCGCAGAAAGGCTCACTAACTTTATTTCCTTCGAAGACCTAGGAAAAAGGAAATAATCTTCAAGCAATCGCCCTCCAAAATATTCTCGAGAGAAGGAGCTCGAGAGTAAACAATGAAGAGTTCCCACAAAGGGCCAAGCCCGAAAGGCAAGGCCCTGAAACCTAGCGGATGCTTCTTGTGCGGAGGGCCGCACATGGTGAGGGAGTGCCCACAAAAACAGGCACTCAATGCTTTAACAACTTTCATCCATCCCCCCAAATCAGACAAGGGCAAGGCCGTCGCTCTTAGTTCGAGTAGTTCTGAATCCAGCAGTGACGATGAGGAGTCGTAAGGACCCCAAATGGGAGCAATGCGTTTGTTGAACACCATGCGGGGTCAAGTGGGGGAGAACGCGAAGACAAGGCTATAAAAAGCAAGAAGTGGTGAGTTGATGTACGTAGATATTAAGCTCAATGGCCAAACGACCCATGTAATGGTGGACATGGGTGCTACCCACAATTTTATTACCGATCGAGAAGCAAAGCGACTTGGGCTGATCTTGGAGACGAGCCCAAGTCGAATGAAGGCAGTGAACTCGGAGGTCAAGCAAATCTCCGGCTTGGCAAAAGGAGTTCCCATCAAGATCGGAACATGGAGCGGGAGCACAAACATGATGGCGGTGCCACTAGATGACTTCCAAGTGATTCTTGGAATGAAATTTATGCACGCGATGAAGTTGGTGCCAATGTCGTTCTTTAACTCCCTATGTGTGATGGGAGGTGACAACCCCTGTGTGGTTCCCATCTTTCGGAGAGGAGCTAGGGAACCCCAACATATATCGATATTACAACTAAAGAAAGGGGTGCGAAGAGGTGAATTAACATTCGTGGCTGCTATGAAGCTAGAGCCACTCGATGAGAAGGTCATTCATGAACCTGCTGTGGTGGCGAACGTCCTGAAAGAGTTCACTGACATTATGCCATCCGAGTTGCCGAAGACTCTTTCGCTACGCAGATGCGTGGATTATAACATCGAGCTGGAGCGGAAGTGAAGCCTCTAACGAGACTACCCTACCGCATTAGGTGAAGGTATAGTGGTGGTCTCATTTACAGTTCTAAAGCACCATTCGGAGCTCCCGTTCTCTTCCAGAAGAAACAAGATGGGAGCCTCCGACTATACATCAATTACCGAGCCCTCAACAAAGTGACGGTAAAGAACAAGTATCACATCCCGCTCATCGCGAACTTGTTCGACCAGTTGGGCAAAGCCAAGTATTTCTCAAAACTCGACCTTTGATCGGGGTATTGGCAGGTGCGCATTGCTGAAGGTGACGAAGCGAAGACTACCTGCGTGACTAAGTATGGAGCATTTGAGGAGCATGCTTATAAACCAACTATTCAAGGAGTATTTGGATAAGTTCATGGTCGTCTACTTAGACGATATCGTCGTCTATAGTCAAACGCTCGAGGAGCATGTCAAGTACCTTCGGATAATCTTCAAGGTTCTCAAGGAGAACACTTTGTTTGTGAAAAGGGAGAAATGCTACTTTGCACAAACGGAGATCTTATTCTTGGGGCATCGAATCGGTGATGGCTCCATTCGGATAGACAAATCGAAGGTGCAAGCGGTTGCGGAATGACGAACTCCAAAGAAGGTGCTAGAGTTGAGATCCTTCCTTGGCTTCGTCAACTACTATCGACGCTTCATAGCAGGGTATTCAAAGTGTGCAACTCCACTAACAGAGTTGCTAAAGAAGGAGCAGCCTTGGAGGTGGTATGATAAATGTAAAATTGCATTCTAAGATCTGAAGACTGCTGTGTTGGAAGAACCAGTGCTCAAATTGCCAAACTATGGGGAGCCATTCAAAGTCCATATAGATTCTTCAGACTTCGCTATTAGGGGAGTACTCATGCAGGAGGGTCATCCGGTGGCCTACGAGTGCCGCAAACTCAACAAGACCGAACGGCGGTATCCAGTGCACGAGAAGGAGATGACAGCGATGATCCACTGTCTACGAGTTTGGCAACACTACCTTCTTGGATCACGATTTGTATTAAAGACAAATAACATCGCTTTGAGCTATTTCTAAACCTAGAAGAAACTCTCCCCAAAGCAGGCATGATGGCAAGACTTCATGGCAGTTTGATATGGTAATGGAGTATAAGCCCGGAAAGGCGAATGTCGTGGCCAATGCATTGAGTCGAAAAGTGGAGCGTGTGAATGTCGTACAATTGGAGGGCAGAGGCCAAGCAAGTCAGTCGCACTCCAACTTCCTTTCCAGGATCAGGGATGGACTATACAGCGATCCCCAAGCAGAAGCCATAATACAGCTCATTAAAGAAGGTAAGGCACGACAGTTTTGGGTCCACGAGAGACTCGTTTACACCAAAGGGAATAGGGTCTATGTTCCTTAAGTGGATAATCTAAGATGTAAACTCTTAAGAGAGTATCACGATTCCCTTTGGCTGGACACCCAGGCATTCATAGAACCTTGGCTCTCATGGAGAGGGCCTTCTATTGGCCGAAGATGGGGACTGATGTGGAGGAATATGTTCGAACGTGCCTCACTTGCCAACAAGACAAGATGGAGCAACGGAAGCCCGTGGGACTTTTGAAGCCGTTGCCCGTACCAGAAAGGCCTTGGGAGAGCACTTCCTTATACTTCATATCAAGCTTGCCTACAGTAAGGAGACTCGGATCGATACTCGTGGTGGTCGATTGATTTTCTAAGTATGCAACTTTCATTACTGCTCCCCTACACTGTTCAGCAGAAGAGGCAGCCAAGCTGATGATGAAAGATGTGATGAAGTATTGAGAGTCCCCGTACAATATCATTAGTGATCGAGACGCTCGGTTCTTGGGATGATTCTGGACCGAGCTATTCAAATTGTTGGGATCGAAGTTATACTTCTCCATAAGCCTCCACCCCCAGACAGATGGCTAGACTGAAAGGATAAACTCGCTCCTAGAGCAATATCTTCGGTACTACATGAGTGCCAACCAACAAGATTGGGTGAAGTTGTTGGACATTGCCCAATTCTCCTACAACTTGTAGCGGAGCTCTGCGTCCAACAAGAGCCCCTTCGAGATCATTACAGGGTAACAACCGTCATCTCCTCACACCATGGTAATTAGGTATACTGGGAGTAATCCGTCAGCCTACCACTTTACAAGGGAGTGGCATCGAAATGCAGATATTGCGTGGGCTTACTTGGAGAAGGCAGCAAAAAGAATGAAGAAGTGGGCAGACTTGGGAAGGCGACCGCAAGAGTTCAAGATTGGCGATTTGGTGTTGGTCAAGCTCCAACCAGCATCACTCCAATTCTTTAGGAATAAAGTCTATAAAGGATTTGTGCGTAAGTATGAAGGGCCCTTTTCAATTATCAGTAGGGTGGGCAACGTCTCCTACAAGTTACAGCTGCCAGCGTGGTTCAAAATTCACAATGTTCTTCATGCTAGTAACTTAAAAGCCTACCACTTAGATCCGCAAGATACTTCCCGAAGTGTTCCAACTCGGCTACCCCCCACCACAGCCCCCTACGAGAAGCGAGTTGAAACCATTTTAGTGGACCGCAAGATAAAGCTACCCATTGGAGCTGAGCAGACCGAGTACTTTGTGAAACGGTGAAAGCTTCCCCGAATTGAAGCCAGTTGGGAGCCTAAAGATGCTCTACGACATGAAAAAGCAATTATCAACGATTATCAACAAGTGTCGACGAGAGCATCGACAGTTTGAGTGGGGGAGAATGTCACGAACGGTCATCGCACACCTGCAACAACTCTTTTCAACGAACCGTTCGTCGCTCTCATCCATATGTACAGTTGCTTAGCAATATGTTTTGGCTTGGTTTTAAGTCTTTTTGTTTGTAAAAATGTAAGTTTAAACAAGTTGCAGCATTATAGTGTGACCGCTCACCGAACCGAGCCAAAACAGCTCCGTTTTCATGTGCCACAGGCTGTTTTCTGCAGCCCGTTACTGCACGCGAAACGTCAGCCATCTCAGTACCCTGGAACCACCCGAGTGGTACCATGGGAGATGGGGCTTTGGTATAGTGTCGGGCGTTGAACAATCTTTCGCAAGTTCGCACGTTACCTTGATGGGAACTTGTTGTCGCGCCCGACACCCGGTGAGTAGTTGTTTGTGGACTTGCAGCTGTTCGTTCAACCCTCTAAAGTCATTGTTTTCCTCATCTCTCTCTTTTCTCTTGTACATGCAAGGTGCTCGCTGAATTGCTTGTAAAACTTCCCCTTTTCGTGAGACGTTGGAACTTATCCGTCGCTCGTTCTTCGAACTAATCAACTTTCTTTTTTACAGGTCCTTCAAGACTTGCGAGAGGTTGCAAGTGAGCTGATCTTTGTGGATGCAAATCGCAAGGGCAAAGCACGGCTTAGGCAAAGCAAGCTAACTTCACGTATTTGCCGCAAGAGTGCATTGCGACTTAGGCAACGCAAGCTAAGTTCGCGTCTTTGCCGCAAGGGTACCTCATGAGTTAGATAATTTCAACTAACTCCGTGACAGTAATATCACATTTATTGCCGAGCAAACGCTTGTTGACATTTTCACTTGCACAACTATCAATCACATTCAGTAACTGGTTGACATTCTTAAAGATCTCCTTGCATGTGATAATTGGGAACTACCTATTATCAAGTGAAGATATCTATTTTTCAGCAAAAAGTTTCTTTATTTTTCTTGTGTGAATTAGAAAGGGCACATGGATTTAAACAAACTCTCAATTATTAGGACCTCAACTGGTGGTAATTGTCCTGAAGCATTATTGATCAACAGTATCTCACTGTGAAAAGAAAATGAGGTGGTTTATCATGGATAAAACAGAAATTTCACTACAAAATGCAAAGCAAAGCACCAATATTTAGACTTAGAACTTCTAATGTCAACAAATATTGAAAAACAGAGAAGGTACAGGGCTAATAACTATGTAAATCTAGCTATCCAAATGGAAGTTCAGGCATGTGCGATGGCAGGAAGCTATGGTTGATCAATAAGTGAAGTTCTCACTTGCTACATACAGGGGAGTGAAATTCAAGGAGTTACATCGATCTTACTTCTTATTTATACTTTACAGTTACATCATATTTCAAATTGGTTGCAGCTAAAAGTTCATCTCATTGTAATTTCTTTTCTTTTTTTTTTTCTGTTCATATGTTATATTCTAGTGATCCTCTTACAATCTAAATTAAGCTCCCAAAATAAGACCCAGATCAGCTTTTAACAATGGCTCTCCAGGTGGGTGCTACCCTATAAAGGAGGTGTAGAATCTGCATCAACAGAAATTTACCTTCGTGATGGTATTGGCACCACCATTAGACTATAAGTGACCAGGAAACCAGAGAAGGAATAGAGAGAAATCCAGAGAAGAATGTTAGAGAAGGAGATAAAACTCAGCATAAAAACAACAATAAAATTAACAATAACAACAAGCCATAAGACCCCATATTTGGTGTTGACTACATATATTTCCCAATCAATGAGCTCTGTACAGGACAATATCTGATAGCTAAAAATAATTAAGAACAACCAGCAATAAACCTGATTTTATTATGAAAAATCAAACAAGAACTTCAAGGAAATTATACTATCAAGAATTGACATAAACCACTTAGTCTCCGATTAAAATAATTTAAATCTGTCCAGAACCCATTAAATTAGGCAACAAGTGTTTGCTAAATTAGATGTAATAACAGCAAGAACAACTAAATTTGGTCTCTTTTTTTGACCTAATGTGCATTACTGTGACTCGCTCTCTCTTCGTCAATTTGTTGATTTTGGAGACTTTATAGGAGAAACTCCAAAAAATTCACAAGATACGTACAAAACCTCCAGATACAGTCTCGATATGCGATTGCGTCTTTCCAAAGTTGGACAAAATGACACCCACCGACAATGCTGACCTAAGAAGAGAACGACCACTCACAGCCTACATGTTTGGATAAGCTGAATTGCTATCTTCTGTGCTCAAGATCTCACCTTTTATGAAATCTTTAGTTCGTAAAAATATCTTCCATTTAATCTACAGGAATTAATTACGTCCATTCGCAAAGAAAGCGATGACAAATGGGTTTACCAACGACAACCAGGTAACCAACAGAACTGCTGAAAGCATCAGATCTAGCGCACATTGTCGATCAGAGGAGATGGCGCCTCAAGACCCCTATCAAGGAACACCTAGGTGCGTCCAAGGAGCGGGATATGCCCATTGACTCCCAAGATAAGATCCGACGAGGTCAATCCAGGGGCACCACAAGACGAGAATCCATCGAAATCTAATAGCTCTCTCGAACAGGATCATCATTAAAAAGAAAGAAACAAGAAATGGGGAGGAAACTGACTTACTACTCGGGATTGAAATGCGGCAAATTGCTGCGGCAGAGAGGAATTGGGTGAAGGGAGTTGGAGGAATCGCGATTGCGGATGAACGAAGGATGGATCCTTTCCCTTCCCTCCACCGTTTTCTTCGGCTGTGCTCTCTCGAGAGCCTCTATTTGAGAGGGAAAGGCAAAGATTCTTCCTATAACAGTAATTAATAACGATAATAATAATATGTACTAGTGTGTGACCTAAACAATTTCGGACTTCGGATGAAGGTCCGGGTTGGACATAATCAATCGGATCTCGAATTTAATTTGGATCCGAAATATATACTAGTGTGTGACCTAAACCATTTTGTGATATATATTTTTATTAATTATGGTATATCGTTATACAAATATCCAAATGAAGGTCTGTAAACGGTCGATGTCCGACGAAAATTATAACGATTACTATTTAAATAAACAAAACGATATATATATATATATATATATATATATATATATATATATATATATATATATATATATATATATATA